GTGTGGGCATGATATAGGGCACTATATGGTGAACAGGTGGACAGTTTAAACACACAGATGAAAATAATAAGACTGTAAGCCGGTTACAGTCCTGTGATAAAGCTGCTAGTTCTGCCTGTGTTTTCTTCTGCTGTGACATTCTGAAATATCCACAGTTTTTTTTTAACGCTTATGGATCAGTAAATTTTGCCTTTCCTTTGGTACCTGCTGCTTCTCCCACTTTCACTTTGTCACAGGTGCAGTTTTTTTTATTTCATTCTGTCATTAGTTTTTTCTTTTTTTGTTAAATTACATAAACCATGAACTCTGTCTTTTATTCTCCCCAAAAAGTGATATGTCAACATTGACAGCATCTTCTGCCACCTGCTGTTTTGTGTATTGTTTAGTTACAGCAAGACATGGTTCAACCAAGGTGTTACTATGGAAACCACACTTTTGCCTGGTCTCAAAACTGAGCAGTATGGGACAAGGTGTTTGTATGAGTTCCAGCTCATGTGAGCACAGAGTACGCTAACTGCCATCTAGGACTAGGTTGCTAATGTATGAAGCCATAACTAATTTTACATTAGTCATCAATCTAAACTACATAGAGATCTGTAACCTTTATAATATATCGTATTATTTAATTAGTTTAGTCTGTTACTCTTACTGTGTTGGAGCAACTGTAACCCACATCTTTTCCTTAAGGAGTATTAAAGGATTCTGATTCTGATCATTAGTAGTTGGTGCAACTCTACTGTATGATATGATGGAAACCACAGAATCGTACCAAATATCTAATCAAGTACTCTTTTACATACAGGTTTGTCATCAGTCAAAATGCCTTATTATTAACGTTAAATTACAAAAACAAGTTGAATAAGATGTGAAGAGGGTTGTTCATTTAAAAACAGGCTGCAGATAACAGTGTTCTCCAGACCATGACACTTTAACAAAGTGGCACCAGGGGCCAAATGCATTAACAAATCATTGGGCACTAATTAAAGCCTTAATAGCCAATGATCATTAGCTGAAACTTTCATCATCTACACCCTGAAACAGATCTCAGTCATGAATCACCAATCAGCCACAACACTAAAATAGATGAGGTGAATAGCTTTGCTAGCATAGCTCCTGCCAGTTAAAATTTAAAGCCAAATTCTCACGTGTAGACAGCTGAGGTTTAGAGCATACCCAAAAGATCTTGTGGGGTATCTTTGCTATAAAGTGATTGTAGCTTAGGAGGTAGAGCAGGTCATACACTAACTGAAAGGTTTGTGGCTCGACCCCGAGCTGCTCCAGTCTGCATGTTAGATAGAAGAAAACAACAACAACAACGTAGAAACCAGTGCTTGTATGAATGGGTGAATATGGATAGGATTGGATAAGGTTTGTAGAGTAGAAAACCCCTATATAAGAAACAGTCCATTTACCAAGTGGAACCAGACACAGCATTGGTGTTGCGCTGATACACATCAGAAATAAGCTTGTAAAATAAGATAATGACATTTTAAAAAGTTAATGATACAAACATGAACTACATGTGCACTCTACAGCAAATGATAAATAAATCAGTGTTTATATGAAATCAGATATAATTTGTTGTTATGTGTTTTTATGATGCACAATATATATCAAAACGAAGACATAATGGCTGAAACTGCGGTTGTCACAATTCATGTGGCTAAGCTTGGTTCCCAACGTTTATGTAGATTTTACTGACTAATATTAACTCCTTAAGCATTAACGCAGACTGCGTGCACTCCTTCGTGGCAATGATTTTCCTGATGGAAGAGGCGTACTGCCACACTTCAAATATTCTTCAGGAATGGTTAGAAGACCATGACAAAGATTTGAAGAGGTTAACTTCTCAGACCACCACACCATACAACTTTCAGAGCTTAAAAACATCTACTGTGAAGGTTAGGTGCCTGATACTACAGAAGAAATTCAGAGGTGTTGTAGACTTCATTGATGGTGTCATAGTTATTTTGGCAGAATTAGGGGGATTTCTATTAGGCAAGTTGTCTTAATTCTCTGATGAATTCTGGGCTTGACTGTGGCTCAGGAGGAAGAATGAGGCATTTACTAATCAGAAAGTTAGTGGTTGAACATTGGCTCCTCTAATGGGGATGTTCTTGATCTTGCAAATGAGCCAAGTTTTGGCTGATTGTGCACCACTCAATTTTTGTAACCTCTGACGTTTTGCTGTAGGTAAAGTAAAACTGGAGTTCATGGTGTGATGATGTCTCCTTTAGACACTGTTTAGGCAAGATACTAAATACTAAAAGTGGTTTGGCATAAAAAAGAGACTTGAGTATGAACGTGTATTAATAGACAAATCAGGCTTGTATTAAGAAACCACTTTGACACTTTTGTAGCACTTTTCTACATCATTCGAGCACTTGATCGAACCATCCCATCGTTTCAGGAGAAAGGCAAAACAGACTTTTTTGGAAAAAAAATGTTGTATATGATGTTGTGTCAGTATAAAAAAGATACAAATTACATATTTAGGGTTAGGATTTAGATGACTATGAGAACTTAGACTTAGGTGATTAATGCGGTGGTATATGATGTATATCCATACTAGTTCAGGGTCAGGGTCAAGAGTTTAAAATCTACACCAGCGGGTTTTTTGTTTTCCTTTAAATGCAAAACACAAATCCTGGAAACTGGGAGACCAAAGTTTCCTGTTAATCCTATAACAAAATAAACCCAGTGTGAATGTCAGTGTTCAAACGGGCATCAAAGGAGTTAAAGGTCAGTGCAAAGTCGGCCGCTGATTTATTTGCAGGGAAGCAGCTGCAGGTTTTGCCTGATTAAATAGATAACAGCGCTGATTCGCCCGCTCACTTCAGAGCAGGGTTTGTGTTTATATTCATCCTGATCAAATAACAAAGTGTATATTTGGTGATTTTGTTCGAAAGCTACACGGCAATGCTTGGTTTTCTTTCCTCTCGTGTCGGCTGGTGTTTATGTAAAATGTTGTGTGTGAGAAACTTGAAGGCGCTGAATGCTGGATCAGAGAAATACCTTTTTTCATATGTGCACATTATCTTGGTGTCATGACACTCGTCCTACTGAGCTATAACTCTCCAGAGCATGTCTTCCATAAAGTTTAAAGTCGGTATAGATTTTCTAACAACACTTGCCTCGGGCTGTGCTTCATTTTTAAGTCTACCAAGAGAGAAAGCCTGTAAGTGGGCTGAGGTCGCTGAGAGACAGTTTAGAGTTTCTTGTGGATTTGAAGTATTTTGTCAAGCTTGTTTAGTTTTTTTTTCCTTGTATAGTTACGCATATAGTATACAGCATTATGTAACTGTCTGTTGGTTTGTCCTGTGAGCTGCACTTGTGAAAGGGACATATGCCACACCAGTGAAAAGATTTGTCAGAATCAAAGGGGCTGACCTTCAAAATCACACACGGTGACCTTCTCTTCACAGAGCTTCAGAAAGCTAAGTAAGTCTAAATCCTCAACAGCTCCATTAGAAGGTCCTGCCTGGCTCAGCTGGTCGAAATGGAACAAAGAGTCCAGCCTTGCTGAGCCGCCATTGCACAGTGTCTCGTTGTGATGTAGTGCACGGCTAATTGCATCTCTGTCCGACTGATTTCTTTTAGGAAGAAGAGATGAGACATGAGGCAGACAAATGTCTGTTTTTGCTTTATAACATGTTAGAACCCATTAAAATTTCAGTTAAGATTCCAAGTACAGGTTTGTGCAATTACATGTTGAGGATTTTAAGGTAGTGTAACTCAGCGGTCCCCAACCCACGGGCCACGGACCGGTATCGGCTTAGTGGCGGTGACAGTTAATCCTCGGGTGTGAAATTTATGGTTTTCAGGGTTTTTATCGGTTTTTAGCGTTATTTTTTTAGAATTCTTATCGTTAACTCAGTTTCCCTGGGTCTTTTCCCATGTGTTATGAATAAATCTTCCTTTTTTTGGGTACCGGTACTGGTTTTATTTTCTTGTATCTATCCGCAACACCTTAAAAGTCCGTGGCGCTGGGACCGCTGGTGTAACTTTACTGTACTTTTAAGTGAAATTAGTAGATCGGACAATAACATACAGCTCATAATGTACTTGCTTTATCTACCTTCCTCAGTTCAACTCTTTTAATTTGAAAAGCTTCTATTTAGAAAACCATCCAAAAAAAATCCCGTCTGACACAAATCAATCAATCACTCAATCAATAAATCAACAAAAGGGTAAATGACTTTCTTCAACAGCGGGTTTCAGTTGGCTTTACTACACTTTGTTTACTCCGTGGTCTTTTTGTTGTTTTCGGGTTTTGATTTCCTTGCAAATATAATTGAGTTTAGACTTCAATTGAGGTTTTATTGTTGTTCCAAATGCTTCAAGTTTTGATTTTTGTGTTTGTTGAAGGCTTCAGTTCTTGTTTTGATTTCTTTATTCTAGCAGATTACAAGCTTTATTTTTTTGTGTCCATTTTTGAGTATTTGCTTCCTGTTGTTTCTTGTGTTTTTTTGTAATGCCAAGTTTCAGTTTTACATCCTGTGTTTTGGTTCATTTCATTGTTTCTTTTAGTAGTTCCCTCAGTGATTCTTTGTTTTCTTTCTGTTACTTTCTGATGTATTTGAAGATGAGTTTTCTGTCATGTCCTTTGTTAGTTATACCACATGTTTTCTACTGTCCAATCAGACCCGTGTGTATAAATAGTCCCGTCGTCACAGGGAAGCGTCTGTTGTGCTTCCTTTTTTGCACTTGATCTTTTTTCATTTGTGTTGGTTTTCACATTTATGTCGTGAACTTTTTCCACCTGAACTAATGGCCTTGTTTTGCATTCAAACCTCCACACTCTCAATTTTTCTGATATACAGTATGCTTAACAAAGAATGATACAATTTCAAAGTGCTTCAATTCCACAGCTGTTCACCATAACAATCAAATTGCAAAATGTTAGAAAATCATCTAAAGCTCTAGTTGAGTCCAAGAATAAAAACACGGAGGTAGAAATGACCCTAATAGATCTCTTTTAATGTCCTTCCATCTTGCAGGGGAGTGGTTCGAGTGGACATTAATCTACAGGATGTTGATATCGACCAGTGCTCCACTGATGGCTGGTTTGCTGGAACCCATCGATGCAACCTGACCACTATGGAGGTGAGTGTGCCAAGCATAGGGGCTAGATTGATTTGCTCAGTTAAACTGAACTGTAATCCACACCTACTGTGTCACATCTACACAAGGCTCCAAATGGAAAACCAGTAAATCTGTATGTCTTGTGACAAATGTGGGGATCTGATTCACCTTTAATGATACTGCTAACAATATAACCACTAAACTAAAGTGAACATTGGATACAAAGCATCACTTGATGTTTATCTATGCGAATATATCCCACAGCGTGCCAAGGCTGCAGGGAAGATTTATGTTTTTGTCACACATGAAGCTTTGTCAAAGGCAGCTGCAGCTCGTCTCAGCTATTACCTCTGTCAAGGTTGCGTTGTCATGAAATATGATGTGTTTGTCTGACACTGAATGCACAGCTTTGCGTGAAACTAGGTAGACAGAGATGAGCCAAATCATTTTGTAGTCATTAGCCAACTGATAAAGTACACAGACCCTATTGGTTCAAATCTTGAGGGTTTCCTTCCAGGGTCAAGACATATATTTAACTCTAAGTGCCTGGAATTGAGACAGAGGGTTATACTCATGTTCAGCATTGGCAGAGTAGCTCTGGTCATTTTTAAAATGAAAAACATCTTGTCTCAAGGCCCACTTGGAAAAGATGATAAAATTCTCAGTACTGTTATTTTTAAGAGAATGTCAGACATCCACATTCACCATTATGAAAACTATTATCATTAAACACCGAAGTTAGGTTTTGGGTCAGATAGTCATATTACTTGCCTTATTTTGGACAACTTTTTGATCTGTAGTTTCTAATTGCACCACTTTATTCAAGTTAGCTTGATTAGCTCTGCATCAGTGTGAGCACCTTTATAAAAGCACAACGCCGTGTTTAGAGAAAACCAAACATCTTATGCTAGTCAAGCGTGGTGGTGGAGGGATGGGCTGGTTTTGCAGACATGTGAACTGGGCACTTATTCTGGAGTCAAATAGGAGACCATCCGTCCAACAGCTGAAAGTGGGTCATGCAACAGAACAATGATCACTAGGGATGCAACGATACCAATTTTTTTCAAACCGATATGATACCGATACTTGGATCTGAGTACTTGCCGATACAGAGTACAAAAA